CCCAGCCAGAGGACTGAGTGTGTGCCACAGTGGACAGCAAGGGGTGCCAGCGCAAGTGAGGCCTCTCGCCTGCAGCCCCAGAGATGGGGAGAGATACAGGTCTTTCTGGCCTTTCCGGCCAGACCCACGAGTTCACTATGGCCATATGCCTTCAGGAAGTCCCAGGGTTCAGATTGGATTGTAAGAAGAGAAAAGGCAGGTGATTGAAAGCCATTCCAGAAGTAGTTTCTTTTTCTTCAATATTATTTGTATTATTAAAGTAGCATAAATTGTTATAAAATTACATAAGTGTACAAAATCACACATACATCCCAGCCCCCAGCCCTTACGGTCACCTCCTAGATAAGGACTCTTAACTGCTGGTGACTACATCTTACTGGTTGAAATAAGCAGGTCATTAGGTGGGTCTAGAAATACATTTGATTCATGGAAACTTTGGTGATTGTAAACCTTTGCTGTTCATTCAGCATGTTGAAAAACACCTGAGCTGCACACAGTAGGTGTTTATAAAGATTTGTAGAACTGAATGAAGGGAGCCTCTAGTTCAGCGGTTCTCAACCTGTGGGTCGCGACCCCTTTGGTGGTCGAACGACCCTTTCACAGGGGTCGCCTTAGACCATCCTGCATATCAGATATTTACATTACGATTCATAACAGTAACAACATTACAGTTATGAAGTAGCAACGAAAATAATTTTATGGTTGGGTCACAACATGAGGAACTGTATTTAAAGGGCCAGAAGGTTGAGAACCACTGCTCTAGTTAAAGGTTATGGCTGAGTGTTGATTCATATTGTGGGTGAATGGGTTGGCATGCTATAGGGAGGCAGCTGAACCTAGGCTGCAGCCCTGGTGGAGATCCGGGAGGGCAGGAAGGCTCTTTCCAAGTGCTAGATTCATGTTTTAATTGTTATGGATGTGGAAGAGCTGGATTCTGTTCATCCAACCTGTTCTGAATCTCTAGCGTGGTGAAGAGTTAAATGAAACGTTTTTGTATATTGCAGGGTATTGCATGCTATTTCTGTGCTTTCTGGTTAACAGCTTCTGGCTAACTCATAAACAATTGTTTCCAGTTTGGTGTTTGAGTGAGGAGTTATGTAACTAGGAAGGAGTGAGAAAGGCAGAGAAAATAATCTGCGCTAGAGAAGCAGCAGAAAGCACCTGCTCCCCATGCCCCCCTATCTGAGGGTCTGTAGCCAGGAGATCCTGCACTGTCATCCCTCACTCAGTCTTATTTCTGACCTGGGGACCCCAAGCTCACACCGTGTCCTCAGTTTGCTGGAAGCGCATCTACATGTATGGGCTTTTTCTGTAGCTGTGTGTAAGAAGGGCCCCCCAGTTCTCCAGATAGAAGGTGCCAGGCGCCCGTACTGCCCAGAGCAGGCTCCCAGTCTGGGAGGAAAGACTGATCCATTCTTTTTGTGTCTGCTTTCCCGGTGGCCTGGCCTATCCACCTTTTCAGTGCCAGTCTCTGCAGGGGTAAGCTAAGTATCCTTCTCTTTCTTTCAAATTGAGTGCCTCCAGTGTTTGCCTAGGACCTAGGTCATCCTGCTCTTCAATACTTGTTTCCAGCTGAACAATCTGACTGTACAGTTAGGGCATGCAGGACAAGTAGAGTTTTCACTCTAGGTCAGTGATGGCGAACCTTTTGAGCTCGGCGTGTCAGCATTTTGAAAAACCCTAACTTAACTCTGGTGCTGTGTCACATATAGAAATTTTTTGATCTTTGCAACCATAGTAAAACAAAGATTTATATTTTTATTTATTTTATATATTTAAATGCCATTTAACAAAGAAAAATCAACCAAAAAAATGAGTTCGCGTGTCACCTCTGACACACGTGTCATAGGTTCGCCATAACTGGAGTAGTGGTTGGGTGGGGATGTCCTGCGAAGGCAACCACAGGTGGGACTTGAAATTCAATAAATCTAGGAGCATTTTCATAGCAATATAATTTTTAAGTTGAAATTGTGTATGGTCAGTGAATGATGTTATAAATATGACCTTTGGTAGAAAAAAAGGTTCCCCACCCTTGCTCTAGGTGAACTTATTCTCAGGCCTGTTTTAGTTGTGGGTGCCAGAAAAATCCAATCCAAATGGGTTAGGCAGATATACACCTGTGAAACATCCCTACAGTGGAATTCTACTCACACTAAAAAGAAACAAACCACTGATATGTGCAACATCATCGATGAATCTCAAATATTGGGCAAAATAAGTCAGACACAAAAGAATACACACTGTGTGATTCCATTAATATGAAGTTCTAGAACAGGCACAAGTATTTGGTGATAGAAATGTTCAAATTTTTTTTTTAACTGGAGTAGTGGTTACACAGATTTATACCACATTTGTCCAAACTCAATGAACTATGTACTCAAAATATATGTATTTTATTATATGTAAATTATACCCCTGTTTCAAAAGTGAATGCATTGCCTCCTGTAACTGAGAAGTCTAGAGGAATGGCTTGACCTGGGGCTCAGATGTTGCCATGGAGATTCAGCTTCTCAGCTCTGCTCCCCTGGGTTAGCTTTGTTTCTGGGGAGACAGTCCCTTGCTGTGGTAAGGGGGCTATAGCGCTGCCCAGTCTCACGTCCTCCTAGGTTCGCAGCTGATATGGAAAATGAAGCCTGAAGGGTACTGATTGTCCTATGTCAGCTGCTCACCCGGAACCAATCTCAGGGCTAGGGGCCTTTGATTTTCCAAATGGCCAGGCATGAGTCAGATGTTCTTTCCCTTGGAAAGGAGGTGTGGGAGTATGGATTTACCATGTCTGACCGTCCTGGGCTGCGAGGAGGGAGAGTGGGACACAGGTCACTATGCCTAAAGGATGTGCAGTGATACTGGACAGCCCTCAGCCAGGGAGCATGTGAAGGGTGTCTAGAGATGGACAGGTGAGCTGTCCCAGCATTCCCACACATTCTGCTCAGGCTGCCTCACAGCCCATCTTAGAGTGCCAGGAAAGACACAGGCTCAAGTCCCATGCCCACCCTCACTGCCTCTAATAACCCATGGGCATTTCTGGTGTTTCTAGCAGGCCTAGCATTCTTACTTTTCAGTAAGAAGTAATGTCATTTGGGTCTGATTACTCAGTCAAATCTAATCCTAAACATTCCTATGTCTTATCTAGAAACTTGACCCCGCTTCTGTGGGCTGGTTAGGGTGTAGCAATTCCAGGCCAGCCAGAAGTTGGGTAAAGTATAGGAGCAAGAAAAGTTCTTATCTATGAGCTGGAATGGCTGCTTATCTTAGTTAGCTCTGGGAATGTACGTAAAGGAATTAGTCATTAAAGCTTCTCTGTCAAATGGAACACAGTTTTGATGAACCATGTAATTTTGAGTCAGATTGAACTATCCCTTCATAGTAATTTTAGGAAGTGGAAAGGAAAGAGGCTGGCAATTATTTTAGCCCTTTAATATTAAATTAGCTTAATATTAAAGCTATTTTAATCATATCTGAAAAAAGAATTCGTTTTCTGATTTTTATTTTAAATCAGGGATCATTTAATAATTTATTAATTTTAAGATGATTGCAACTCAGATTCTGAATCTCTAATTTGAAATAGAAGGGCTGTGTAGGGGATAGGTGGGTGGCAACCTGCTGGGAAGTGAGAATAAGAAATCTTTGTAGAAGGAGTAACGTCACTCATTTCTGACTTAATAGTCCAAAGGCCACTGATATGGGGATTCCCTGAGAAGGTTGGGGCTGTAGATAAACCACTCTCCCTCCTTCAAGTGGAGGCCTGGTGTGTGCAGAGCTGCCGTGGCAATGACACGGCTGGAGAAAAAGGGCAGTCTTCTCACCAGTGCTGCCCACCAGTCACTCCCAAGGAGTAACCACAGCTCTATCAGTGGGCAGAACCTCAAGATAAGCTTCGAAAAGGAATGGAGCCTTCACTCAGATCCAGGGCTTCTACTTGCTGGGTGGGAAGAATACCTTAGGTTAAAATGAAACTTATTCAGATCTTAAACTTTTCAGAATGAAACATTTAATCCAGATATCCCAAGAAATAATGGACAAAGAACACAGATAATTCACCAACAAAGGAATTCAAATGATCAATAATATATGAAAAAAAAGTTTACCTTCACTAATAAATGCAATTTGGAAGAAGAGGATACCTGTTTTTGCATATCAACTTGGCAAAGATTAAAAATAATGTTTTTCAATTCTACAAACAAGTTGAGACAAATAACCCATTTAAAAAAATGGGCAAAAAACCTAAATTGATATTTCTCCAAAGAAGACATACAAATGTCTAAAAGATGTTCAAATCATGAGCCATCAGGGAAATGCAAATCAAAGCCACAGTAAGATAACCACACAATCGTAGGTTGGTTATAATAAAAATGATAAACAGTAACAAGTATTGGTGAGGATATGGATAAATTATAACCCTCCTATACTGTTGGTGGGAATGTAAAATAGTATAGACACTTTGGAAAATAGTTTGACAGTTCCTCAAATGGTAAACATAGAATTAACCACATGACACAGCAGTTTCACTCCTAGATATATTGCCAAGAGAAAGGAAAGCATCCCACACGGAAAGTTACACACAAATAAGCAACCCTATTCACAACAGCCAAAAAGTGAAAGCACCCCCCAAATGTCCATCAGCTGATGAATGGATAACTAAATGTGGTGCATCCATACAGTGCAGTGTTAGAGACAAAGAGGAATGAAGGACTGACACTGCTAGGTACATGGATGAACCTGGGAAACAGTACACTGACAGAAGCCCACTACAAAGACCACATTTTATATGATTGCATTGATACGAAATGTCCAGAATAAGCAAATATACACAGGCAGAAAGTAGATTAGTGGTTGCCTACGACTAGGGAGAGGGGACAGAGAATAGGGAGTGCTCTTCTTTCCTAGAAGATAATTGGGTTCTAGTGTGTGGGGCCTTTAAAGAGGTGAGACCCCATCACACTGCCCGAGAAATAGACGTAAAAAAAACTTGTAGTTTATAAAGCTACCTGTTCACCAATATGCATCAAATACTTATAGCAGATGCTCAGAAACTGTTCAACTATAAGGACATGGTAAATCCTGAAAAGGGGGCAGCCTGGGATTTGAGTGTTCTCTCTATCCAGCCCCCCGCTTCTTTCTCTAAAAACAATCAATAAAAATAAATTTTTTAAAAAGGGGACAGTATTATACAATCATTAAAATAATTGTTTTGAGGAACATTTCATAATAAAGGAAATTTTCATGATAGAGTATGAAGTGAGAAAACATGGTAACCTTTATGTGCCCTGTGCGGAAAAGGGTAAACATAGCAGGCCTGAGGCTGCTATCCTTAGGAAGGCCTGCTTGAAAGATTGGCCCCCTCCTGGCGACTGGAAACCTGGCTCTTGGAGGTTGCCTCCTTCCCCAGACTGATAAGGTTGGCTTACTGTGCCTAGACTGATGATAAAAGCCATGTGTCTTAATGAACACCTGCTTTCCTCCTGGGAGCCTGGAACTTTGGTATGTGCTAGGCAGAGGTGCCTTTGTGACCAGCCCCCAATAAAACCCCTGGGTGTTGAATCTCAAATGGGCCAACCTGGACAGAGACATCGCATACAAGTTGCTGGGAGAAGAGTGTGCTCTTGCTACCACTCATGGGAGAGAGAGAGCACAAAGAAGCCTGTAAATGATTCCTCTGTCTTTTCCTCTATGATCCATCTGTGCATCCTCACTAAGCTGCTGTCGTACATCTTAACCATGAATGCAACTACATGCTGAGTCCTTGAGTCCTAGCGAGTCTCCAAATCTGGGGGCTGATCTTGAGGACTCCTGACACAGCCACTAATGTGGAAAATAACAACATGTATATAAAATACATGGGGAGAAAAGAAACGAATTTACAGTGGCCGTTTGGAGTATATTATGATAAGTGACTTTTATTTTCTTTATACTTTACAATATTTTACATATTTTCCATTTTGTTACTTTTGTTTTTCAAAAAGTTTAGTTTCAAAATCCTTTTCTGTTCTATTAAATGTTGTCATCAGTTTTAGAGTGGCGACCTCTGATTGGTGCATCTACCCTTTTCCCTTAGGGTTGCAACCCCTTTGCACAAACTGGCCGAAGCAAACTGCAGAATCAGAGGGCTGCCTTGAACCAACAGATCCTGAAAGCTGTGCGGATGAGAACGGGAGCAGAAAACCTTCTCAAGTAGGTGTCTGCTGGCTCCACAGCCTCAGCTGGGAGCCCAGCCTCCCTGAGGCCTGCCATCGATTCCTAAACTCCTAGGCCTGTCCAGCTTTCTCTCCAATTCTCGGTTTTAGCTTTGGGTTTCCTTCTCATTTCTGGCACCTGGAGCAGGGCCTTTCTCTGCTAGAGCTTGGTTGTGTTGAGGCAAGTATTTTACCTAGCCTGCCATGCGTTTGGGGATAGAGGGACACTGGAGGATGGTCCAGGTGTTGTATTCATGTTTCTTTTCCCTGCTTTCTGTGGGACTTGTCTACTTTCTCTACGCCTCACACTGTGCCTGGTCTCGAATCACTGCTTGGTAATTATGTGTTGAATGTATAAAGGAAAGGAAGGCAAAAAGGAGGGAATGAAGGTATTTCTATTTCCAGTGTCCATCCCTCTAATGCAGCGGTTCTCAACCTCTGGGTCGCGACCCCTTTGGTGGTTGAACGACCCTTTCTCAGGGGTCGCCTAAGACCATCCTGCATATCAGATATTTACATTATGATTCATAACAGTAGCAACATTACAGTTATGAAGTAGCAACGAAAATAATTTTATGGTTGGGTCCCAAAATGAGGAACTGTATTTAAAGGGCCAGAAGGTTGAGAACCACTGCTCTAACGAGAGGGGCCCAGTACAGCCCAATACTCCTGGGGCGCTCATTACTATGCTCTGTTGGTAAAATAGTTACTTATCAAGCATATCAAGCATAGAACTCAGTGAAGCCTTACCTGTGTCACAGGCAGCTCCAAGCCCTCCCCACCCCCTTCAGTACAATGCAAGAACATGTGCCAGCTTCCTCTTCTGAACTTGCTTCAGAGTTCTAGGGGTAACTCTTGTCAGCTGCATGCTGCCTTCTGCACTGGGTAGTTGAGGCAGGCACCATGCCTGCTGGCCTGGGAAGTGAGACAGATGCCTCCTGGAGCCTCAGAAGGAGATGTGGAGTGCTTGTAGGAACCTGGAACCTGGAAAGCTGGCAGAGATCCTGGAAACCTGGCAGGATATGGCTTATGGGTGTTTTCAATGGGTTAGCCTTAGGGAGTCCAGACAGCTCAGAGGTTTTGGGAAAAGTAAATAACACCAAACTGGGTTTTTATAAAGGAACCACTCTGGTAGTCACAGATATGCATGATTGGCAGGATCAACTCCTCCAGGTGGGGGCCACTCACCTGAGCACTAATAAACAGGAGGAGGCTTTCTGACCATGAATTTGGGCAAAATTCATTTCTGAATCAGTCTGTATTTGCTCCTTAAGAAAGATCTCTGAGATATTAAATGGGGGGAGGGGTGCATGACAGGATGTCTTGTGTTTATTTTAAAGGATTTGTACAAACGCTTTTGTGTATGCACAGACTATTTCCGAAAGGATAGAAAAGAAGCTGTTACTAGAGTTGGCTCTGGGAGCAAGACCAGTGTTGGGGGTGTAGATGACTCTCCTTTTCATTTTACGCCTGTCAGTGTTTGAACGTTCTTTTATGAAGTACGTGGATTACTTTCATTCATGTTTTATTATGGATTACTGCAAAGGCCCAGGAGAATATTATATGCAATCCCTGAACCTACCAGGATTCAGGAACGATAATGCTGTGCCTGTCTTGGTTTTGTTACTCAAGTACTAGCCCCAGAACACAAATCCCGAGATGGCCAAGTGTCTGGGAACCTCTTCTCTAGCTACTTCTGTAACAGGGTGAAAGGGAGATTATTACTGGAGGAGACTGGGAAAATATTGTAACATTTCACCTTTTAAAAGGTCTGACAGTGCCCCCGTCCCCAGAAAAGTCGGAATTGTCAGGTCCACAGCACTGTGGACCACATGTGGCCACTGCAGCTCGGGAGAGACCCTTGTTTTCAGGAGTGCCTGCTGTGTGCTGGGCTTGCTGTGCTGGGAAGGCCGCAGGCATGGCCCCCGGTATGTTGAGGCTGCAGGTTTTGGTTGACACTTTGACGAGCCAGTTCTGTAGCCGAGGGGACAGGTGGGCAGCCCTGACTCATGGCTTTCCCAGAAGCAGGCTACAGTTGATTTATTTGCCTGTTCATTCACCCACAAATGGATTTGTTGAGCACCTACTAAGTGGCAGTAGTGTTTGAAGTGCCAGGATAAAGTTGCGAGCAACTCAAATGAGACTGCTTTCATGACACTTGGTTTCTTGTGGTGGAACCTGAATGAATACCCAAGTAAACATCTAATCATGTCAGGAGGTGATGTTTCTAGGATGTTGATGAAAGGGAGATATGATAGAGGTTGACGAAGGGTGGTCAGGGAGGCCCTCTCTGACCAGGAGACTTGGGGTTTCTCAGGTGGGAACTAGGGCGGTTTTGTCTGTCTTGGTCTGTTAATAACAGCAGACAGCCTTTCTCAGGCCCAATAGCTCAAGCTCATTGTCAAGTCGGCAGTTGTAGAGCTGGCAGGGGTGGAGTGTATTGTTAATGATTCTCACAGTGACCTAAAGGTTCAAAGTGCCCCTCTATGGAGAATGTTGTCAGAGGAAACCCTGAAGGTATTTATTAATCTGACTCAACCGGTACCAACGGTTTCCCAAAAACAAAGGGCATTTAGCCAAGCCCAGCTCTAGCCCTGTGGATTTACCTGGGTTGCTGATTAGGTGGCCCTGCCAGCAAGGGGTAGTTTTAGTTACAAATTGGGCCCCGCTGTTACGCCTGTCCGCTTTTCTGTTTTCAGGTTCCCATATTACCCATCACAGCCCCCAGATAAAGGTAGAGCAGTTGGAATATGTTTGAGGGGAGGGCATTTGGAAAAATGTCCCCCAAAATGCAGAAATGCAAGGGTCCCAGTCCTTAGCTGCATTGGTAAGGGCAGGCACCGTGAGGAGCCAGGTTTATACCCCTTCAAAGTCTTCTCCGACCTGTATCAGCCAGGAGCCCATGAACTTCCTGGAGTTTGATTAGGAAGATATTGGATATTTTTTTTAATGAGATATCAGATATTTTTAATGTTCTTTTTCAGGCTAAGCCAGGACAATATTCTCTCTCTTTTCCCAGTTCCCTCCCCTCCCTTGAGAAAAGCTGGGGTAGAAATGTGATGACATTTCTCTGAAACAGAGTCAGTCTTAGTGAAATTTAAAGCAGGTTGCCATATAGTTTACATTAACTGGTTCTTTGTTTTTAATCCTCTAATGGTCGAATTTTTACATATTGGCAACTAGTTCAAGGGGTGGGGGGCAATAAACACTCTAGTAGTCAAGCAAACAAGTCCCACAAATCTCTAGTTTGTGACCTCCAGCCCAAAGGGTTGTGAAGTTCTGTGCCAGGGTGACCTGGGTGGCTTTGGCTGTAAGGAGAGTGATGGAGGAAAATGACTGCTCACACTGTCAGTTCTGAGGGGGCTGGTGCGTGTCTCTGCAGTGGTGTGTGCAAGCTCTCCGTGGCCTTTAGCGCCTGCCCTAATTCTGAGACCTGCCTTCTTACACTGAGAGATGAACTGGGGGCCCATGTCCTGGCTGCTCGGCTGACCTGCTGCCTTAGCCTGGTGCCTACATGAGAGCACCAGGCAGCACTTGCTGTAGTTTACCTGAACCCCTGGCAGAGCGAGATTTGGGGTCAGATGGATTAAGGCCAAGTTGCTCCAATAAGGCCTCTGAAGCTGGTGCAAGCCTATGGTGCCTTTTCCTGGAAGGACAATTTTACTAAAAGACTTGGGGGAGAGGGGAAATGATGCAAAAACAAATGGAGATATATGGGTCAGAATGCAAAATTCACATGCATTTAACAAATAAACCATGGGGATGTTAAAGAAATTTTGGACTTGGGGCAAGAAGCCATCATCACACAGGGACTCTTATGGTGGAAAAGGCCTCAGAAACTCCAAACTGAGGAAACCAGGTGCAGATGTGGTCAGTAGCCTCGGGAAATAATTGAATGTGGCTTTCCTTCCCCTGTTCACACTTGGTGGGTGATCCCTTAGACAAAGTAAGTGGCACACCTTCCAATTCTGGACTTTTGTAGTATGTGCATGCTCCTTATGAAAACCCAAGGGAGTGGGCCTTCCCTGGTGGTCTAGGGAGGCCATGGAGACTCTGGGCAGGAAAGGGCTGAAACGCCTGCTGCCTCATCCCCGTTGGCCTCAGACCACAGGGTGTTGGCTGTACCCAGACCACAGGGCCTCAGAGGAGGTGCACACCCAAGGGAAAGCTGAGAAAAGCCATGTTCTAACAAGAAGGCCCGTAAAAGCCATTCTTTTTCATCTGGAAAGGCAGCTCAGGTGCAGGCATCAGTATGGAGGAGACCAAGGCTCTGGTCTTAATTCCTAACTTGAGTCAGCTGATTCCATTCTTGTCTGTTGCCCCAAGCTATTCCCGCAGCCTGGATACAGGAGCTGAACACATGCACCATATTGAATTGGTGTGCCTTAGTCGAAAAGCCCCTTTCCACAAGTGAATCAGTGAAAAATCATTACCTGTACTAGAAACAGCTCAAACTCTATAGTTGACTTCTGAATCATTGGTATACCCCAGCGATTTTCAACCAGTGTGCCACAAGAATTTTTAAAACACCCAATACCTCACTATTTAGTCAGGAACACTGACCTCTTTTCCAACTTTTATTTTTTTTAAATATATTTTTATTGTTTTCAGAGAGGAAGGGAGAGGGAGAGAGAGATAGAAACATCAATGGTGAGAGAGAATCATTGATCGGCTGTGTCCTGCACACCCCACACTGGGGATCGAGCTTGCAACCCGGGCATGTGCCCTTGACTGGAATCGAACCTGGGACCCTTAAATCCGCAGGCCAAAGCTCTATCCACTGAGCCAAACCAGCTAGGGCCTCTTTTCCAACTTTGATTATTAAATAGAAAATGACAACAGCCAACACAACAATAGCCATACAAGTGTGAATGCCCTGTCTCTAACCATAAATATATAGGTCATATAATAGAGTTGCATCTTATTGGTTATGTCACATAGTAAGGTTACATCTGATTGGTTAATTCTTGGTTTCCCAAATCCTTATATACAAGTATA